AGTATTTGTTTCACATATGTTGGTGTTCCTGTGTTGGGTGCATATATATTTATAATGGTTATATCCTCTTGTTGGACTGAGTCCTTTATCATTATGTAATGTCCTTCTTTATCTTTTGTTACTTTCTTTGTTTTGAGGTCTATTTTGTCTGATACTACTGCAACACCTGCTTTTTTTTCTCCCTGTTGTTTGCATGAAATATTTTTTTCCATTCTTGGTTTTTAGTCTGTGCATGTCTTTGGGTTTGAGGTGAGTCTCTTGTAAGCAGCATAGAGATGGGTCTTGCTTTTCTATCCATTCTATTACCCTGTGTCTTTTGATTGGTGCATTCAGTCCATTTATATTTAGGGTGATTATTGAAAGATATGTACTTACTGCCATTGCAGGCTTTAGATTCTTGGTTACCAAATGTTCAAGGTTAGCTTCTTTAGTATCTGACTGCCTAACTTAATTCACTTATTGAGCTATTATAGACACTGTCTGGTGATTCTTTATTTCTCTCCCTTCTTATTACTCCTCCTCCTTTCTTTATATGTTGGGTGTTTATTCTGTGCTCTTCTGTGTTTCCTTTAACTGCTTCTGTGGGTAGTTGATTTTATTTTTTGCCTTTAGTTAGTATTTGATTGGTCTGCTTTCTTTGCTGTGATTTTATTTTCTCTGGTGACATCTGTTTAGCCTTAGCAGTGCTCCCATCTAGAGCAGTCCCTCTAAAATATCCTGTAGAGGTGGTTTGTGGGAGGCAAATTCCCTCAACTTTTGCTTGTCTGGGAATTGTTTAATCCCTCCTTCATATTTAAATGATAATCGTGCTGGATACAGTATTCTTGGTTCAGGGCCCTTCTCTTTCATTGCATTAAATATATCATGCCATTGTCTTCTGGCCTGTAAGGTTTCTCTTGAGAAGTCTGATGATATAGCCTGATGGGTTTTCCTTTGTAGGTGATCTTTTTTCTCTCTCTCTGGCTGCCTTTAATACTCTGTCCTTGTCCTTGATCTTTGTCATTTTAATTATTATGTGTCTTGGTGTTGTCCCCCTTGGGTCCCTTCTATTGGGGATTCTGTGCTCTTCTATGGTCTGACCGATTATTTCCTTCCCCAGTTTGGGGAAGTTTTCAGCAATTATTTCTTCAAATACACTTTCTATCCTTTTCTCTCTCTTCTTCTTCTGGTACCCCTATAATGCAGATATCGTTCCTTTTGGATTGGTCACACAGTTCTCTTAATATTGAATCATTCCTGGAGATCCTTTTATATCTCCCTCTGCGTCAGCTTCTATGTGTTCCTGTTCTCTGGTTTCTATTCCATCAATGGCCTCTTGCATCTTATCCATTCTGTTTATAAATCCTTCCAGAGATTGTTTCATTTCTGTAATGTCCTTCCGGACATCATCCCTTAGCTCTGCAGCTCCATCAGCATGGTTATGAGCTTTATTTTTAATTCTTTTTCAGGGAGATTAGTTAGGTCTATCTCCTTCTCAGGGTTTGCCTCTGTGATCTTGGTCTGTATCAAATTCTTCTGCCTTTTCATGGCAATAGAGGTATTTGTGGGGAGCTGGCGCTTGTGTTGGCTAAGAGGAAGTCCCTTCTTGCTGGTTTGTGGCCTTCCTCTCCTGGGAGAACAGCAACCTCTAGTGGCTTGTGCTGGGCAGCTGTGCACAGACTGGGCCTCTGATTCTTGCCCCGCCACTGTGGAGCTCTGTGGTTGCTGTGGGCAGAGCTGCATCGGAAGGGGAACAGGTGGGAGGCTGTTTATCACTGTGAGGGGCCTCTGATCTGTGCTGCCACCCAGGGGGTTAGGGCGCCCAGAGTTCCCCAGGATTCCCGGCTGCTAGGCTAAGTGTCCCAGGACGCTTCCGCCCAGCTGTGGGATCCCTGTCCCTTTAAGACTTTCAAAAAGCACTCACTTTTCTTTGTCCTGGGTGCGCTGGCTGCAGGGACACGCTCACAGGTCTTATTGTCCTGTTTTCCCTAGTTTCCAGCACACCACACACTGTGTGTCTGCACTCTGGTGCTGATGGCTAGGGCTGTGTGTTTAGCAGTCCTGGGCGCTCTCTCCCTCCCTGCTCCGACTCCTCTCCTCCTGCCGGGGGCTGAGGTGAGGGGTGCTCGGGTGCGCTGGGCCATGGCTTGTATCTTACTCCCTTCGTGAGGCACTGGGTTCTTGCACGTGTGAATGTAGTCTGGCTGTTGTCCTGTGTCTTCTGGTCTCTCTTTTAGCAATAATTGTATTTGTTGTATTTTCAAAAATATATATGGTTTCGTGAGATTTCCGCTGCTCTACTCATGCTACCATCTTGGTTCTCCCCTGCTTTTCTTATTTTGAAGACAAATCTCTTCTTAAGGTTTGCATTACATCCTTAAATGGTATATCTTGTATACTTAAGAAGATGTCTTCTAATTTAAACAAGTATTTTATAGCAATATTAGCCAATTGTTTAGAATGTGTTTCTGTCAAATTATATTTAATGATAGGTGGAAAAAAATTACTCAAAAAACATTTTGTTACTGGAGAGGCCTAAATGAATTTTCTGGAAAATAATACTTTGGTGATGCTTTGTAGGCAAAACAGTCTGAAAGCAACTTTGCCAACTATGACCCATTCAAACAAGGCTGAAAGGAGGATGTAAGATGGAGTGAATCATTGACTGGTTGGTCTAATAGTAGTGAAAGGTCCCAAGACAGAAAACAGAGGTTGACAGACAAATCATGTGTGGGACATGAAAGAGCAAATCAACTAGTCAGGTTAGAGAGAACCTTCCACACCGCACTAATAACCATTTTAGACATGCTGCCACCACCTGGGCAACAGGCAATTTCGAAGTATGGGAAGCTTTTAGTTGTGATAATCAGTTAACAATTACAGAATTAAATAAAAAAAAATTTTTCAGTTTATGAAATAAGCATTTTTTGCCACATCTTGGGACATTAAAATTTAAGAGCAGAGATTTGGGGCAGATGTGTTGAGAATCCTGTTCTATTTTTAAGACTCTGTTTTCTTACCTGTCAAATGGGTATAAGATGATTATCTTTAAGGGTTGCTTAATCTCAAGATTTGTATTAATAGACACCAAGCATCTAACCCAGTAGCTGGTACATAGTAAGTATACAATAAATAGCTCTTAGGAAATTATTCTTCAGTATGATCTTTCAAATATTACTACAGCCTAATTATTATTTTTAATCACATAAATGTGTCTATTAAGAAATGAATTTGCTTGCATTTAAGTGGAAGGAAAAAACTCAGGGAAGAAACCAATTCCACTAAAATAAGCCAAATAAATGAAGTATTACTGCAGGGAAATAATCTTGAGAGCAGGCAAGAAAGCTCTCAAAATCTTTAGTCCACCCTAGATTACTGCAACAGCACCTTATTCATGTTTCACTCATTCACAAGTTTGACATGAGTTAGTGTAAATGTGAAACTTTGTACCATCCAAGGAAAAAAGACTTTCAAACAAACAAATGACAAAGACTAGGACTTCTCCTCTGAAGACAAAAAGTTGTTAGAATTTTGTAATATTCCATTTTCAAAATATAATTGCAATAGAGTAACTAGTATGGATGGGGCTGGCAGAATATGCTACATAGGAATCATTCTTATGCAGACAAACCCTCCTTAATTAATAATGTTAGGCTTAGTTTGGTTAAAATTACATTCATGTAATAAGATTTTATATCTTAAAAATTAATAAAGTGGCTCTTATTTCCTTGTTACTCCAAGTCAGTATTCTGAAAGACATTTGAATGAAAATAAAAACCCCATTAAGGATCTTTTCAAATAAAGAATATGACCTTAAGAAAACTGGCTATGATGTTTCCACTAAATTTCTTCTTCTATTGCTGCTTATGGAGCCTAAGTCAGAAAAATGGCCAAACCCAGTCCAACAGACAGAATTTTCTAAAACTGAAAAACACCAGAGATAACCTAGCACTTTCCACATATGTAAGAGGAACAGGCTTAGAGTGACTTTTCAAAATACACAGCTAAGCAGAGAAAAGGCCTGTGAATCTCAACTCACAAGGCTCCTCACTACAGAAAGCAGTCCTTAGTATCAAAACCAATCTTGACATTACCTTTCATTAAGGCAATGTGGGTTGCAGTTAAGGAAACAACTATAGCAACTCCTATGGTATTCCTGGGCTTGCAGCCTGCCCTGGAACCGAAAACTGTATCAGTAATATTAGACTGGGAAGGCAAGGCCTACACTAGAGACAAAGCCCTACAGAGCCTTCCTTCTTTCGTGTCTCTTCTGCCCACCCAAGACTGCTATGCATTTACCAAGGGATGCAGCAGAGCAAACTACTGGGGAGGCAGTAACTAGGAATGTTGTCTATCCATGATTAAAATAAAACACACACACCTTGGCCTCTGGAGTGAATGATGTTAAAATACATTCTGATTCCTTCCTGGAACGACTATTTGGCAAGTTTTTAAAAATCACCAAAGTTACCTGCAGCAAGCAGAGTTCGCAGTACACACAATGCAGTGACTGCATCTGCTTTTTCTGGCTATTACAGGTACAGACTAGGTCCATGCTGCCCAAGCTTTGAACCTATCACCAAAGTTTTCAAACAAGAACAAGAAAACAACTGCTGCTAATACAGCGTACAAACAGTAACATATGCCCAGCGAACACTACTGTAGATCATTAGATTACATGCCAAAAGCCTGTTCCCTGGTAAATAAGTTACTGTTGTTATACCTAAACTAGTTATACATGTCACAGCTTGCTCCTCAAAGAGAATATTCTATAGTCTTTCAAGAATAAAAACCTGCTTTATTTGGCACACAGCAGTGAAGAGGTCTTGCAACATTTGTAGAGGCAGTCAAACAAGACCATTTCAGTGCAAGCAATTACAAAATTTGGTCACCAACCAAACCAGTTAATCTCTCACTTCCTGTAGATTGGAGGACAATATTAAACTCACTCTGTTTGTTGACTTTTGCATCCTTTTGTGTATTTAAAGAACAAGTACCTCTGTGGAAACTCTACGCCCACATAGTTTAATTACCAAATTTATTTTAGGCAAGTATCAATCTTGTGTGTGTGTGTGTGTGTGTGTGTGTATGTGTGTAGGAAATAAGTTAGGCTCGTAAAAGAAAACAAAAAACCCTCTTCACACAGTATGGCTGCATTTTCCCTTAGGAACAAGATTCAGGGGATCCACCTCCGTCCAGCTGCGTCTCCATCTCCTCTACGGGAGGCTTTAATGACTGTCCAAGCAGAAGAGAGGGGTAAGGGCTGGTGGTGAACCACAAGGCGAAACTCCCAGAATCTTTCCACAGTCGGTGGGTGACCCTCACCTGACTTTGGTTAGTTCGTGGGGACCAACTACGTTCTTGCCGTCGGCCTTGGTCCGAGTTTCCCAGGGCCACGGACCTCACCCATCGGGCCCCCCACACCGGCGCGGCTCCAGCCGGGAAGGGGGGCCGTGTCCCCGCTTCTTTCCGAGACGACAGTACGGAGCTCTCGGGGTCCCGGCCCCGCGCCCCCACGTCCGCCCCGTAGTCCAGGCAGGAGGCGCCCGCGTGGGACTCTGGCTTCCAGCCCCACGCGGCCTCACCTGCCGCTGCCCGGAAACCGGCGCCGCCCCGCCCCCTACCCCACGTCCTGCGCGGCCGAGGTCCCGGGACCCGCACGGCAATGGCGCCGCCGGAAACTGCCCCCCGATTTCCTCGGGCCCATCCACGCTGGGGCAGGCCTGTGGGCGGGACATGAAAGCCGCGGCTTCCGTCTTCCTGCTTCCGGCGTGGCGGTGAGTTGGAAGTAGGGGGTCTGGGTCCGCTGTCCCGGCTGCCATGTAGGAGCCCCTGGTGCGGCCACCTCGTGGTTGTGCCTCGGTGCCGGGCGGAGGCGACGCCGCGTCGCCGGTGCGAGGTGTGGCGCGGCCGTGCCTGGCTTCCTGGGGCCACCCGTCTCGGAGCCTCGCCAGGCCCGCTCTCGCCAGGCCGGACCCGGGACCGGAGGCCGCTGGCGGTGAGGAGGGAGAGTAGTATGAGCAAACGGGGAACGTAAAGGAGTGGCGGCGCTTCCAGCTGGGACGTGCCGTCGGCTGGCCCGGTCAGCCCCTTGCTGAAGGAGGAAGAGTAGTACTTATTCTTCAAGTGTGGAAGACGCGCGCGTTTGGGTCGGAAATTGAGGTGCAGGGGAGGTGTGTGACCTGTGGACAATCCTTTCCGTGTTAATAGCCAAAACTTTTCCATAAACCAGGTTTTTTACCCTTTTTTTTGCGAAGTTCCTTTGCTTATCTCTGAATCCTGCATTAGTTAATTTATCACTGGACCGAGTAATCTTAAGAAACATGTCTCTCAGCACAATCCTGACTGGGTGGGTTTGGGGGCGTGCTGGTTCGGGGGAGGGGAACCGAGGTATTTAACAGGATCATAGGCACTTTAATGTGTCTCTTCATAATATGAAGAAACCGTGGAAGGATATATTTAAAACCAGTGGCGGTATTTTCCTGAGGTGAAGGGATTGGGGGTGATTTATGTTTTGTTTGGGTTATGTCTAATTTTCGATAAAGAATACAAATTGTATAATGGGGAGACGAACCTTTAAAGAGTAAGGCAAGGTGTTTGATTTTGTGATTACAAATCTAACCCTATAAAAAATGACATGTTTAGTATCCATTCAGGATACAGGAATGGATATGCTGTAACGTAGCAGCAGCTAACTTGTCCTTTTATCTGTTAGCTTCATAAATTTATTGTTGAAATAAGTGATTTAGTAAAATATTTGCTCTCCGGTATTTAGGATTTTCTTAGAGCATTTGCAGTTGTAGTAATTATTTCTTCAAATTATGAAGAAAGAAATAGAATTAAATGTAATGTGTCGGTCAATTTTAACATGTCGTTTATAGATTGCATATATAAAATTTAGAAGTTTTCCATTTAAAATTGTATTACAACCATCCTGAAAGTTGTGACTTAAACTTTATCTATTCTTTTTCAACCCACCTGGTGTGTGGAATTTAGCGCTTCGCCCAGAAGTGTATGGTAGAGCTGAAAAAGACAACCGACCAAGGGTGGCCTAAAACTGTAACTGGCTCTCTGATAATCCCAGGACAAGATCACTGTTCAGTCATAAGGTAGATCATTTTTTTTAAATGCCAGCTGAAACTGTGACAATCTACATCCATTCCTGCCCGGATATTTTCTAATCCTCCACGTTGAATAGAAGTTAACACAAACTTGAAAGGTTGAAAAGCCTCTGGGGCAAAATAGAAAATATTACTCAGATGCACACCATCCTCATTTGCTAGATGGCCCTCCCTTACCAACTCAAAATGGAACAGAATGTATGGCACCACTTATGGTTAATTTTTTCATTTATTAAATTTATTGTCATTTATTAAAATTACATCCTCAAGTAGGAGTTCTCAAAGCTGAAAGAGGACGTAAAATAGCATGTCATTTTTTTGCTTTCTCTTTGCATATGAATGTGGGTATTGTCTGTGCTCCCTTACTGTTTCTTTTTCATTCCTGGAAACAGCCATCAGTTACCTCCCTTTTATACAAGCATTTTATCTACTCTGTGGCTTGTCCTTTTCAAACACCAAATTTGATAATTTATACTTTTTGTTAACTAGTACTTAATAGTACTAATGCCATGTCAAAAAATGACAAATGAGATTCAGCTGTTTCCTGGAATGTGCATAAACTCAAGATTCTTATAAAAATATGCTGCTAAATAAAATTTGTCTTAAATACAGGAGGCATGTGAGAATATGCATTGTCCTTATGACAGATTCCACATGGTTTTTACTTGTATCTTCTATACCTTCACATCTTTTTCAAGTGTCACTTTTCTGGTTGTCCTAGTTGAATTATTAGTTCTTAACTGTTGATAAGTCTTTATTAAAATAGTACTAACTAGTAGTTTTTAAAAGCAACTAAGTGATAATGGAATTCAGAGTTAACTGTATGATGTAACTTTTTTCAAAACTTGATTAACCACATGGTCTTTTCTGTTGTCCCCCTTCTTTCCTAAGACCACTACAAAAATGTTTGACATAAAGGCTTGGGCTGAGTATGTTGTGGAATGGGCTGCAAAGGACCCATATGGCTTCCTTACAACAGTTATTTTGGCCCTTACTCCACTATTTCTAGCAAGTGCTGTATTGTCCTGGAAATTGGCCAAGATGATTGAAGCCAGGGAAAAGGAGCAAAAGAAGAAACAAAAACGTCAAGAAAATATTGCAAAAGCTAAACGACTAAAAAAGGATTGAAGGAATGAACAGGCTCTGCCACCAAAGGAAAATTTGGAAAATTATGCAGATTTGGAGGGACTCATCAAGGTTTCTTTTCTGGATTTTATGGCAGTATTATTTAGTAAATGAAGTCTGAGTATATGGAAGAATCATGTTAGTTCTGACCTCTACTATAGCAAGTTTTAGGCCTCAATGTAGAAGTCTGTTGACAATTATTGTAAATTGGCATTTATTGTGCTATAAATTGTTTATAACTAAGTCGTTTGGCATTTTGCAGCTTAAGTACTGAGATGAAGACATCCTGTGGAGAAAAATGACTTTAGGTGATAAACTCTATTCCAGTAATGGTTTAAATAAGGTCCTGTTCTGGACAAAAGCAATTAATGTAAAAATCAGAATTGTCCTGAGGTAAAAAGTGTGCTTAGATGTATATATTATATCTTTTATCATTATTGCTTATTTCTTGGAATAGAATCATTTCTGGCTTTCTCAGAGTTCAAGAATATTAATGAGTGCTTCTATTTTCTGCATTTTTCTCATTTAGCCTTTAATCATCAGACATTCTGCAATTTTTAAACAGATCTAACTTTATAAAGAATTCTCTAATTATCTTGACTATATAGAATACCACCCAGTGGATGTTACCGTTTTTGTACTTATAAACGGTGCCATTTTCTTAGAGATGGCTTGCTGACTAGAGTAGCACTATGATTTAAAGCCTGCAGTAAAAATGCCAAGTCTTGTAGGACCTTAGAACCAGTTTCTTCTTATTTGTGCTAAGTAGAAATGTGAAGCAGTTGAAAGAACATTTGCTGATTACATACATTTTTGTTTTTTATTCGATTCTTTGTTTTAACTAATACAGTAGTGATTTGCTGTACTTTCTGATTAAACAGGTTCACAGTAAAAATTTCAAATTTCTCTTATGGAACTCCTAAAGAGTAACAGCCAAGTCACATTTTATAAGTGGTAAAGACAACATTTGGAAAAATTTTGTTCAGCATAGTAAGTGGGTGAAAAATGTAAATGTCAGTGAGAATGTGTCATAATTAGAAATAAAGAGTTAAAGGATAGTTCCTTCAGTTAAGTAGTATAACTAACTTTTTACTATTAAACATGGCTTTTATAAATGCATGGTCCAATAATTTTATTCACTGTCAGTATTTAATAGCTTATTAAGCTTTTCTTACCTCTGATAATTTTAAATTACAGAAAGCTGTCCAATAGCATTAATTTAAAAATGAAACTAGGTACTGAAATAAATTTGATACTTTTTTATAAAGAGGTTCTGGGTCTTTGTTTTTTTGGTGGGGGAAATAGTAATTTAAGTTAGATATGTCATGGAAGTTAGTTTTCAAAGGTTTACTAATTTCATCTGTTGCTAAGCAGATGCTTGCAAAAGTTGAGGTAAATGTTTCTCAAATAAGACAGCCTAAGGATTGCTGAATATGTTTATCGACTGGCTTGAACAATATTTATTACTTTTAGGTTGTCAGTTCCTACATGTGTGGGAATCAACACATTACAATGCCAGGCACTGAAATCATTCAGTATTTAGTTATGAATTGGTAATTCATGTGATCTAGGATATGCTTTTTATACTGCCATAAACATTAAAATGTTTGGGTTTCTGCAGTCAAGCTGTTCATAGAAGGAATTTATATACATGTTTGGTATATATACATGTGTGCATATGCACATATATATATATACACACATGTATGTTTTGCTTATGGCCACATTTTAGAGTAAAAATACTGAAGCAGAAAATACATTCACCGTAATTCTCAGTTATCTCCTAAAGCTGTGGTTTCATTGGTTCTATTGTGACAATTTAAGGGTATTTATTTAACTAAAATCTGTTTTTCTATAATTTATGTTAAAGTCTTATTTAAAACATGTCAATTTTGTTTGACATACACCATTTGTTTCTTCAGCTTTTCCTAACATGGAGCCTTATACATGTGAGATCAACAAGGTTTTATATTTGTGTGTGTGGTGGGCAGGGGGTGTGTGGCTGGGACGTAAAGTAGACTTTTATGAGGTTTGGGATTCTTCAGAAAAATCTATCTTCTCTCATTTTTACAGATAGTACTGTTGTTGAAAGAATCTCATTTACTATTATCTGGAATACTTTTATAATTAACGGTTCCTTACTCATTCCTTCCTTACTCATGAAATAAAGGAAAGTGGAAGGACACATTACACTTCATTTGGTTTTAAGTGAGAAGTTTGATTCCTATTTAGGAATGATTGCTTTTATGTTTGCAACTGATTACAGAATCTCTCTGATTTACCATTAAAAGGGATTCCATGTTCAAATACCAAAAGTTTGAGAAATATAAGGTAAACTTAGGATTCATTCCTGTATGATTTCTTAAGAGTTTATTTTAACTTAGTTTACTATCATATACTCTCTTCACTTCTGTTCCCCCCCCAAAAAACAGTTTGAGAAAGCCTAGTCTAAATAAATTCAGATTACATTTTAAGTAATGTGGTTAATGAGATATCATTAAAAAATCAATATAATAGTATTGGCTCAAGGCTGATTACATTAAGAAGTGACATCCAGAAATCTTAGTAAAGATAGGAGTGTTAAAAAATAATAGATAATGGAAAAAAGAGTTACTTCCTCCATTTTTTTGATTTTTAACTTCAACTATCTAAGACAGCTAATAGACTAGATTTGTATGATTAAACAGCAGCCAACACATTTTTTATATTTAAGCAATTGCATAATGTAATAAAACAATGCATAGAAGAGGTATAGGAATTCAGGAAGGATTTACCTCAAAGTATTTCGAATATATGATATCCATTAATTATTGACTTACTTATAAACAGATTGGCAAACATTTGCAAAGATATATGTAGAACACAATAATAGGAATTTGGCAGTAGAAATATTCTATCATGTTAGAACATTTACAATTTTTCCTGTAATCCAGGATTCAAGAACATTTTGATCTTAATTTACAGTCAATTATGCTACAAATTTAACTGCTTTTTATACTTTCTATTAACTAGTTCCTTTTCTGTGTCTGTGGCAAAATGTAATATTATCTTGTAATGATATGAAGAGATAGAATAGTTACCCTGGTATTAACAGGGCTGCTGAAATGTTAGTATTACCACATAGGTGCTTTTTTGTAATTGAGTAAGTATGTTATGGTGATTACATTTGATTACTTGTTTTAGTATAACATTTATGAAGTAGTTTTCTGTAGTTTATTTCTTAAGCAGTTAAAATTTTTACCTTCTATTAAGTAAAAATCTTTATGTGTTTTTAGGAATTCATTGTCAGCCCTTAACCAAGAATTTCTATATATTATTCAAAGAATTAAAATTTGGGTTATTTAAAAAGTACATATTTATTGAGCACCTATTATAATGCCAAACACTGTGAGAACTTCTTTGCAACAAACTTGGTGTTGTGCATTTCATAAAATGTATGACCCTTCAAAAATACTTTTGCATATAATCAGTCTTTTAACATTGTCATCTGTCTACATTTTTCTTCAATATACAAGCCACTGGAACCCCAGTATCAGTGGAATTGCTTTCTGAGAGCCTTCCTGTTTTCCATTTTCTCAAAATAATTTTTAATCTTACAGAACTCCAATTATTGTACCATTTCTGTTTACTGTCCTTTCAGGCTTTTGTGATGGATTGTCTATTTTTGTTGGTCCTAATTCCTATCTTCAAACCCCAGTCACACCATAAGCTAGCTTTCGTCCCATCTACTCAAGGTCTTCATGTTTTTTTTCATTTGTCAGCTACATTTTCTTGGCCTCCACATGTTCTATCCAAGTTCTTGTTTTTGATTAGCTCTTTATAGTATTATAGAGTGCCTCTCCAGAAATAATATTCTCATTTTTTCTTTTATATTTGATCATTTAGGACAACTCAATATTTTCTTTTCTCCTTCCTACCAAGATATATCTTGGATGGTTCCTAAGGATTCCAAAATACTGAGCATGTACAGCTGCATGATGCAAATCTAGGGAGCAATCCAAGGAGGGAAAAACAAGTAAATTATATAGTTCATACTTCATATTTCTTTGGCATACAAAAAGATCCTTAAGCTTAATGGAATAGTGAACTATTATCAGAAAATACAAAGTAACTTTTTATTTTTATTTGTTAAACAGTCACATAAATTATTCTATCACAGTGCATTTATTGATTGTCTCTCTTGCCATCTTGTGGCATCCAGGATCCTGGTTGAAAGGTTTTACCAGTGCTGGTTGGAGCCGCTGAGGGTTCTTCCTTTCCGAAGTGTGGAGCAGAGGCATGCCCTTTAATCTGGGTTTGAAGTGGTGGAGCCGGGTGTCCTTCATTGCATTCTTTACTAAGGAGTTTTTCTTTTTCATAATCTTCACTTTTTGTTTTAATTTCTTCTCTATATTTTTCATTTTTTAGTATTTCCTGTATGTATATATAAATGGAATAAATTACTAAATTTCTAGTTAGAAGAAAATCCAAACTTTTATGAAAAGAAAACTAATTTTCAAAAAGTACATATATACATGATCCTTGCTTTGCATTAAAGTAATACATGGATATGTACAGGGTAAGTTTGAAAAAGATATCTGATTATAACCAGTGTTATCTGAATTAATAGCTCTATCCTCATATACTATAATAAAGACATGAAGGGTCACAAAATAGAAATACGTGCTACCCAATAAGTGAAACAAACTATTTAACATGAGATACTACACAAAAGTGTAACACTCTTTCAAAGATTTTCTAAGCTTAACTAACAGCTATTTTCTGCCTCAAAACAAATCATCAGTGATTGTACTTTTCTACTAAAGATGTAGTAAAGGTAAAATGGCCTAAAACAGATACTCTGACCAGTCTGCTTTTCTCTGTGGGCACTAAAGCATAGATACTAATCCCCCATGAGCACTTAAATAGCTGTGACTGAGTTTAGGAGTGGCTGCCTTGAGTGAGGGTGAGAGCAGTCAGGTTTTGCCTTTCATATACCCTGTAAATTCTCAGGTGAGGTGAACCCCTCTACAATGCCAGAAGAAACCCCATCTACTTCCCTCTCTGCTCTGGAGTGGTCTGGCAGTAGAGGATAAGAAAGGAATCAGTTCAGCATGCCCTAGACACCAGTTCCACAGAGGCACTTCGCTATTGGAAATGCTTCCACAAAGCAGTACAACCAGTTTGTGCAATGCAGTTCTGTCGCTCAGGTTTCCTATTCCATCTGTAAGGATATATACCCCGAATTACAGTGAACCTATTACTATATTTTGTTAAATACTAGAACATCAAATTTAAGAAGCATCGTTGTTATGTTATCACTAAAAAAGGTAAACCACAACTGATCTTAGAGTTGTTAAAATGTGAAAAGATGTGCATCTTAAAAACAGCTAAAATGTAGCAATTCTATTTTTTATCTTTATTCCTTATTCCCCTTCTAAACTGATTATTTCTAAATTTTAATGTTTTCTGATTTCTCTTTAAGAACATATAGGTCATTTATGAAAAAAAATCTGAATGTTAGTATCACTAATATCTGACAACATTGACAAAAACAAATTCTTCCAAGTTCCTTTTTTAATTTCAGTACTTCAAAAAATAACACTTACAAGCAATATCTGGATATCTAAAATGTATGATGTAGCCATTCTGTTTCTAAAGTGAATTTCAAGTAGTAAAGGTAACTTTAAAAAACTAAACACTGATATTTAAAACCACATTTAAAATAATGGTTTGTACTTAAAAGAAAATAGGGGTTTGGGGGCTTACAGTGTTGAGACTTTCAGTTGTACACACAAAGGGCACATCTAATGAAACTTACCCTCAAAGCAAATGTGAGGGAAAAAATGTAAGTATTCTTGTAATTTCTGCGGTGACCCATCCCGCATGAGTACTTAAAAAGCTGTGATTGAGTTTAGGAGTGGCTGCCTTGAGTGAGGGTGAGAGCAGTCAGGTTTTGCCTTTCACATACCCTGTAAATTCTCAGGTGAGGTGAACATACATCATGAAAGGATATCCCTGGAAATAATGAAGTACGATACTTTCCCATATCACCATACTCTTCAAGAATCTCTTAACTGCTGTCTTCATGGAAGTTCTTTCTCTTGAGCAGAATGAAAGGGGTTCAAGTTGCCTTAGTAACCCACCACAGGTAGCAAGATGCTACTGAGAAGTTGGTATGCAGTTTACTTGGTTTGGGGATGAGAGAATCAATCTCAGGCCGAAGCTGTCCATGCCTACTTTAGTTACTTCAGCTCTACTCCTGCAGTCTTAAAACTACTGGTGCAAGCCTATGCCTTCCGCATAAAAGGAAATTGAGGGCTGAAAGCTGTTCTTTTTACTGCCTTTGTGTAGTTTCTCTTTACTTACCATTACTCTGCCATGTCAGTTTCTTGTATAATAGCTATTTAGGCAAATGAAAAGCCAATATGAATATGATAATTCTAACTTTTGAAGATGGATTAAATATGGCAGAGTTGGAAAACATGGAGACTATATAATTTTTCCTAGAAAAAAATTGACTTTTTATCTTTTTTAAAAAACCTGTTACCAGACTCCTGCTAACAGCTTGCAGGAAAATTAGAATATAAATCATCTATAAAAAGATACCTAGTTTTGTAAATATTTATAATAGATAAAATAAAAGTAGGTAGAAAAAGGAATTTGTGGACTTAAATCATTTTGTAAGAAAGCCTATTTTACAGTAGAAATTACCATAAGGCAAGGATTTTTCCTTATATTTCTTTGGAACAATTACCAGGTTAAGTCTCAGTATGTTTATCAATAAAAGCAATATGTTTGTTTCATGTAGGGATAAACTGAGAGCAAGTGGGTCTTCCTTCACATAAAATGTATGTTAAAAAAATATCCTTTTATATAACACTCTCTTCCAATAAATATTCTTCAATGTTAAAAAGAAGAGATGGTTCTATGGTATTTTACCATTTGTATTCACATGATTTACTTAGACTACCCTTATTGTTTCCAATATTTCACTATTTCACTTTTTTAAAAAACAGCATTGATAACCATCCACACAGTTCTTTGACCCAAATAGTTTAATCCTGAATCATCTTAGTAGTGACACCAAGAAAGTCCAACTTTTTTCAGTCTTAGTTTATCTGGAAATGGGAATAAAGTGACTATTATACATACTTACACCTCAAATACTCATAGGTACACTGTTCACATTTTTAGGTCATATGAAAGTTTGTGGTTAAGAACATGGGCTCTGAAGCAAGACCACCTGCATACATTTCCCAGTTTTGCCATTTACTAGCTGTGTGATCCTGTTACTGTTGCTTAACCTCTCTGTGGGTTAGTTTCCTCATCTGTAAAATGGAAATAACAATACTGTCCTCTTCAGTGGGCTGTTGCAAGGACTGGGAAAGAACTGCTGTGCAGTCATAGTACAACAGAAAAAGTGGATTTTTAAGTAGTGATTATTCTGTTCAATTAAAAAATAAACATACCAAATTTAAATCCATCCCTCTTCTGCATCTCAGGGTAGAAATACAGTCTCAATACTTAGACTTTTGTGTAAGTACTTAAAATTAGTACTTAAAAATACTTATTTGTGACACTCATTGAGTAACTATTTCTGTGAAAGTTCTGAAAATAGAGTATCAATTGCTATCCTTATGAAGAATTAACCAACAGAATTCACAGTTTTGTTCAATGAAAAATCTCCAGTGTTTCATTGTGCTACAGCCTCCAACAAAGGCAGCAACCATTACCAATGGATTGAGAACAGAGGTGAAACACATAATCTACTGGCTTGCAAACAAGATGGAGTAACTAGGGCAGGACGAGGCCTTCTGCTGTAACAACTCTAAAACTGCTTCAAAAAAATTAAACTTTTCAGATACTAAACAACAGGGCAGGACAGTACTGTGATCCCTGACAGAAGGAAACAAACACTAAGCTTGTATCGCCTCAGCTTTGTGCCTGGAGGCATGTTACGAGTTGCTGCAGAGGGTGGGGAAACCCAAGCAGAGGTTGGTGGTCTTGCTGAGGTAAAAAGATAAGAGACGGTGGTTTGGGAGGCTGAGGAAGCTGGAATTTGTGGGCCAGAGTGTTATATTACACAGAGAAATTCTAGAAATCTGCAGAGGGGTCCACTTGAGTGTTCAGCTGAACATTAAGCTGTATGTGGGTAGGGTGAGACCACAGAACCAGGAAGGTCAATTTCTCGCTCAAGAGTAACTACCAGAGATTTGTAAATTGAACAGCTGCTGGAGCTTACATGAGACCAGAAGACATTCAAGTTCTAATCAGCTAGAGTTGCCTCACTGAACACTTAGGACATCATTATAAAGACTTCAGAAAGATAATCTCTTAGGAGTAAGGATAAATTGGTACAAGAGTAGAGGTGACTCTAGACCTGCACATTGCCACTAGCCACACATTGTTATTTAAATAAAATAATTCAGTTCCTCAAATGTGCACCACACACATTTCAAGTATTTAGTAGCCAAATGTGACTAGTACCTACCATATTGGGAAGTACAGATATAAAACATTTCCACTGTTGCAGAAGCTCATATTGGACAGCACTGCTCTATCTACCCTTAAAAAACTTAAAAATAAGCCTCCAAATGTTCAGGCTGATTCACATGTAAATTACTATACTTCAAAACAAAAAAATATTTTCTAAAGGAAGGTAACACAACTCAAGCAGTAAACAATATACTGTTTCAATGTTCATCATCCAATCATGAAGTAAAGAAGGAAGTGGGATCCCAAATCAGTCAATAGAAATATCTCTATTGTATCTCCACCCAAACATGATAGAAATGATGCAATTGACAGGCAAGAACTTTATCACATCTACTATAAATATATTTAAAGACTTAAAAAAGTGAGCATAAAGAGGAAAGAAATAGAAACTATAAAGAGGAACAAAATGGAACTCCTAGAGATGAAAATATAATATATGAAATGAAAAATGTAAAGGATATGCTTAATAGCATTTTAGACACTGCAGAAGAAAAGAAAAATGAATCTGAAAACAAGGCAGTGGAAACTATCTAGATTTAAGCAAGAAAGAGAAAGAAGCTTAAAAACTGAACCAGAGCCTCAGTGAGCTGTGGGATAATATCAAGTAGTCTAACATACATGTAATTACAATCATAGAAAGAGGAGAAGGAAAAGAAGAAATTACTAAAATATTCCAAACAGATATACATATAAATCTACAAAGACTCCAAGCAGGATATATTCAAAACCAAAGCACTTCAAAATCAAATTGCTAAGACTAATGATAAAGAGAAAATCTTAAAATCTACAGAAAATCTTAAAATCTAAAAGCTACAGAAAAAAAGACATTATATACAAGAGACAAAGATAAGAAATACTACTAAGTTCTCATCAGAAACAATGCAAGATATAAAACAATGGAATGCCTTAAATGTGCTGAAAGAAAAAACCTGCAA